ACCTGCCTGGCCTCCAGGAGCTCTTCCAGACTCCAGACCGCAGCAAGGACTCAAAGACTGTTAACAGGACCACAGAAGTGTCCGGCAGAGCTCCAGAGCCAGTGAGAACTCCCGCAGGTGTAAGGAGACAGCCCAGGCCAAGTCGGGGGAACGATGTGGAAGAAGAGCCAAGAAAGCAGAGGCCTCGGTCTCCATCAGAGGCAGCTAAGAGCAGCCCCGAGGTAACACAAAGCAAGGCCGCTTTAGGGGAATCCACAGTGCAGACACCACACACAGTTGCTAATAGACGGGACCGCCGGAAGCAGCCAAGAGCTCCTAAGGAAAGGAGCCAGCCCCTGGAGGACCTGTCTGGCTTGCAGGAGCTCTTCCGGACCCCAGGCCACCCCAAGGACTCGATACCTATGGAAATCACAGGATTGCCCGGCACTTCTCCACAGTCAGAACCAGGGAGACCGTCTAGACCGAGTCTGGGAACGCTGAGGGTGAAAGAAGAACTTCCGGCCCCCCAGGAGATGACAGAGGTGTTGGAGGAGACCACACACACACACAGAGTGCCAGATGGTGAGGTCACAGTCCCCAAAGCCGGGGAGGTATCTGCACGTCCAGCCCGTGACCCAGTAAGAAGAGCTGGCAGCAGGCTGCGGCGAATGACACCCAAAGAGAAAGCCCAGCCCCTGGAGGACCTTTCCGGACTGCAGGAGCTCTTCCAGACGCCCGGCCACCCTGAGGACCCGGTGCCCCGCGCAGCACCACAGCCACCACCCACCAACACCCCAGCAACCGCCAAGAGACGGGCCAGGGCAAGTCTGGGGAAAGCCCCCATGGATGGGGAGTCCTTGGGGTTCTCAAAGCTCCCACACAAGTCAGGGGAGCCCACACGCACACCCCAAGTGCCCGGAGGTGAAGATGGGGCCAGGGTGGTTAAACCTCGTGCAAAACGGAAACTGGATCCCGCGGATAGTGTAACTGGCAGCAAAAGCAAGAGGCTTCGCGGGGTGCCTGAGAAGGCCCCGTCCCCAGACGACCAGGCCGGCTTGCAGGAGCTCCTCGAAACCAAGGACACAAACACACCCCGCCAGCCTCCACAGCCCGAGCCACAGGACACCTCTGTCCCCCTGAAAAGAGCGACCAGGACCCGACGGGGCACGGTGGACATGCAGGAGGAGCTCCCAGCGGCAAAGACACTGACCCACGCGTCCAGGCAAGCCACGCGCACCCGGAAAGTCCTAGAAGGCAAAGTTACTGACATTCAGGTTTCAAAGGAATCTACAAAGCAGGTCCCAGACCCAGCAAAAAGCATCACTGGTACCAGGAAGCTGCGGGGGGCTCGTAAGGAAAGCACCCAGCCCCTAGACAGCCTGGCTGCCTCCAACGAGACAATCCAACCCCCAGCGCACACGGAAAACTCTGGAAGTGATGCGAGCGCCGGCAGAATCCCCCCCCAGTCTCCACAGCCAGAGCCCGACACGAACACAGCCTCGAGGAGACCACTCAGGACGAGACGTGGGAACGCTGTGGTGAGCAAGGAGACCTCCGGACCAGCACGGGAGACCAGGAAGACAGCCGGGAAGCCCATGCTTAGTGGTGAGGGCGTCACTATGTTGGAGGAACCTTTGCAGCCAGAACTTGCCCCCGCAGCAAGAGTAGCTCGCCCCAAGAGGCTGCGGGGGGCAGCTGCAGAGAAGGCCCCGCCTCTCGACCCGGCCAGCCTCCCAGAGGCTCTCCAGGCACCGGCTCACACGGAGGATCCAGCAGACGATGAGAAGTCCACAAACACGCCCCACCAGCCTCCACAGCCCGAGCCGCAGGACACCTCTGTCCCCTCGAAGAGAGCGACCAGGTCACAACGGGGCACGGTGGACACAAAGGAGGAGCTCCCGGCGGCTAAGACGCTGACCCGAGCGTCGAGGCAAACCACACGCACCCGGAAAGTGCTAGAAGGCGATGTTACAGATAGCCAGGCTTCAAAGGAATCTGCAAAGCAGGCCCTCGACCCAGCAAATAATGTCACTGGTACCAGGAGGCTGCGGGGGGCTCGTAAGGAAAGCACCCAGCCCCTAGGTGGCCCAGCTTCCCCCAAAGAGACAGTCCAACCCCCAGCGCACACAGAAGAGCTGACAAATAGTGCGGTCACCCCCAAACCTCTGAAGACCTCCAGAAGAGTCCTCAGGGCCCCAAAAGAGAAGCCTGTGACATCCCTGATCCCCAAACAGGAACCTGGAGAAGATGGGCCCGGTGTGCAGAGCTCTGTGACAACGACGCCCGCTTCTTCAGAGGAGAAGCCAGCCATCCGTCAGAGGCCCAGGCCACCCCGGCCTTTAAAGATGCTGAAGTGTCTGAGAGTTCTCGCTCCCAAAATTCACCTGGGGGAAGAACAGAGCTGCAACAGCACGGAGACAGAAGACGGGGAACCCCGAGAGGCGCCTGCTGCTGCCAATCAGGTGAGAGCCCTGAGCACTCCCGGTGCTGGCGCGAGGCCCATTGGGAGGAGCTCTGTGTCTTACATGGGTTTACCAGGGCAATGTCCAGCTCCCACCTTGAGCGGTGAAATGCCTGGGCTGGGAGGTTCCTGCACACCCGAACCCCCATGAGTGCAGAGTCCTGGGCCGGCCGGCAGCAGATGCTGAGGGGCCACCCACGTACTGGGGCCTTCTCAGTACTGACACCTAAATGTTAGAGCTGCTGTATGGCCTGCTAGACATTGAGATTGGGATTCTAATACATCAGTACAGGTGGCCCTTTCTCTGTAGGAGGAAGGCTTTGAATCTCTTAGAAAAGAAATACAAATTTGCAGTCCTCTTTTACTCCTGTGGTGTTTGCTTTTGAGTATGTGAAGTTGGAGGTTTGGCTGGTAGAATCTGGAGGTGTGCTGTCATCTTTTGTAACTACATGGGTGTGTTCCCCCTCAGAGAATGTCTCTGCGCACCAGACACCCACAAAACCCACGTGCAGGACAGCAGAGCTCCGAAGGGCTTGGGTCTGCAGAGAAGGTTACAGAAAAGAGAAACGCGAAGAAACCTGAGAAGACCTCCCAAGACACAGAGCCACAGAGCCAAGAGAATGGAGGCCAGCAACCTGCCACGCGGGGCCGCGTCAGAGGAGGCCGCGGGGGCCTGCGGTCTGGAGGGCAGAGCAAGGCCTCCGCGCCCCTCCCCGCCGAGGACAAGGTGAAGGAGAGCCAGGAGAGCTCCAGCAGGGGTCAGAACGAGAGCGGGGCAAGGCCAGATGTGAGGGGTTTGAGAGCTAAGAGGACTGCAATCCAGCCCGCAGGAAGCACTTTGGACAGTGAACCCAAGCCCAGAGTAACTCGAGGGGCCAAGCGAGGTGCAGAAAATCCAAAGAAGGTAAGGAATGGACTGTGTCTCAGAAAAGACAGAAAGGTCTCATATTGCAAAGGGGTGTATGACCGCACGGTCAGCCAGCATACAGCTGGACGGCAGGAGCACTGACCAGAGCCGTGTCTCTATCCTTACCTGAACTAGTCTGTTGCGCCTGCTGTGGGACTTCCTCTTCAGATGGGGAGTTCAGATGACTGAAGACTCCACCCATCCTGGAAGAACTAGGAACTCACTCGGTCCTCTCTTCTTGACAGCTTTTCACGCAGCTCCCTAGACTGTAGGTGACATTGTCTCAGGTTCAGCCTCGCCTACTAATGCATAGGTAGCCAGGGCTGGGACCCTGCCCGAGCCAAAGAGGGCTTGGTAAATGGTGCTCAATAGGAGGTGCATGTCTCACCCTGCCCTCCTCGGCCAGACGGTATCAAAGTTAATGGACTATAAGTGTGGCTGCAAGTAGCTCATAAATTAATAATTTGCATAAGCTGTAAAGTGTAATGAAAATGGATTTGTTTCCTTCTGGGGGACTGATTGATTTAGCTGGCTTAATAGGAAGTTTAGCCAGGCATCATTGGCTCATGACTGTAATCCTAACTACTCAGGAGGGCGAGATTTGAGGAGTGTTGTTCAGAATCAGCCCAGGCAGGAAAGTAACCCCCAATGGAAACAAAACAACAGTCACCAAAAAGCTGAGTAGCAGCCGTTCATGCCAGTACTCCTAGCTATTCGGGAGGCTGAGATCTGAGGATCGTAGTTGGCAGTAAAGCCCATGAGACTTACTTACCTCCAAAGAGGCAGAAGTAGAAGCTGTGGCTGGAGTGGGAGAGCGCTAGCCTTTGAGCACAAAGGAGCTCAGGGACAGTGCCCAGCCCCGAGTTCAAAGCCCTAGGACTGGCACCAAAACAAAGCAAAAAAGGCCAAAATTGTTTGGCAAATGGTACCTCATTGGAGTGACGTTGAAGGATGAAAAGAACAGTATTCCTTCCTTTCACTTGGCACAGCAGCAAGGCCTCAACGTGAGTGTGGCAATGCCCTGTCGGGTCCTGGGGCCTCTCCCCATCACCCCTGCGCCCACACTGACACGTGTCTCTCCAGAGCTGTGTCCTTAGTGGACTGGCCATCCTATATTTCTGCTCTCTCCCTACAAACTACACCTGCTCAGTTTGCAACTTATCTTTCCCGAGGCCCCCCTTCCACTTCCGGGAGCAGGTGGGAGCCAGTGAGCCGTGGCCCAGTGAGAGAGTTGCCTAGGGTATCTTGACATGGATGAGAAAAGCAAATACAATCTCATCGGTGGTTTGTGACATGAGATTTGTTCTCTGCAAACTAAAGTGGGGCGACAGGTCTGCCTCCAGGCTCTCCATCCCAGCCAGGGTCCCAGAGTGAGTCTCAGCTGTGTCTCCTGCCTTCTCCCATCCCGCCGTGGATTCAGCTTCTGCCCTCCGACAACTGTGCCATCTAGCATTTCACCCGGTCAGCATTTTCCGCAATTTTTCCATTCAAACAGCCTTGGCTTTTTGAGTACCTGCTGCATTTCCCAGCCTCGTCCTTTCTGTACTATCCATGGTCATAAAGCTGCTTCTAAAGTAGGCCCAGCGTCTTCCCTGGTGGCACCTGGTTGGTGATGAGCAGTTCCGCGTCCAGTGGGGCCCAGATTCCAAGGCCCAGGCTCTCCCTCTGGAAAGGCAAGGCCTTTGGGCCAGCATCTGGACACTCATTTCTAGCTGAATGGGGGCCTGGCCTCTGTGTGTCTTCCCAGCGCTCAGGGTGAGATGTGTTCTCCTAAGCCCTCCTATAATAGGGCTCTGGTCACAGAGTTCAGTGGGTGTCCTGTCTATGGGGAGTTCGCTGTGGGAGACTCAGAAGTTTCAGTGCAAATCCTATTCCCTTTTTCTGAAGAACCAACCTCCCTCCCTCCTTCCCTTCCTGGTCCTGGGGCTTGAACTCAGGGCCTGGGGCTGTCCCTGGGCTTCTTTTGCTCCAGGGTAGTACTCTACCACTTGAGCCACAGCACCACTTCCACCTTTTTCTGAGTAGCTTATTGGAGCTAAGAGTCTTCATGGACTTTTCTTCCCTGGGCTGGCTTCAAACTGAGATCCTCAGATCTCAGTCTCCTGAGTTGCTAGCATTATAAGTGTGAGCCACCAGCACAGCGTGAATAGCATTTCCTATTAGTGCAAATGTTTACATTGATAAAGAAATTGAGTTTCCTATTACATATAGTATACATTAAACAATACATGAGATATTTTGGTATGAAAAGATAAGGAAATTTTTGCTTTACAACACTGAAAATTATAAAAAGGTTAGGAAAAATATTTCAGGGTGGTGGCTATATCTTAAAATTAATTTCTAACCTAAAAATTATCTCGAGTGAAGGCACCGTGTAACACCTGTAAGGATTGGGGTTTTACACAGCAGAGTTGATCGTAAGAAGTTAGGTTAAGTCTTCTAATACTGTTTTTCTTCCCAAACAGGCAGACGACACCGTGAGCTCCAAGAGAGTGAGAAGCAGGCGTCCGCGTGACGGTGAAGATGTGTAGCAGACGTTGAGGATACAGTGAAGAGTGGGATTAGTGCTCAGGTCTTCCACCGTCATTGTAAGAGTGAATTCTGTAAATAATAGTATTGGGGAGGGGGAGAGGGGAGGGAGCAAATTTAAGAATCTCCTGGGTTTGACCCGTTTTCAAAAGCTCCCTGTCATAAAAGAGACTATGGAGGGACCTCATTAATGAAAGGGTAAAATTTGGGGGTGGGTGGATCCAACATGGCCCTTCGTGTTCTAGAATAAAGACCTGCAGGTCATTGCCTCTTGTGTTCAGTCTGCCTTGGCCTTGCACACAGGAAGCCCTGTCTTCAGACCAATGGATGTAACTACATGTTTCAGCCAACTTGGTAAGAGGTTGTCCTTGAAGTTGGTGCAGAACGGGGTAGGGAGGGGCTTTTGGGAGGTGTAGCCGGGTGGGTGACAGGTGAGCTGCTGGAGAACGGGGTTGTGTTCACAGAAGAGTCCCGTCCACACCGGAAGCCCTCGAGTCACACCCTGTGACGAGAGGGACGTCCCTGAGCACAGTAATGGGTGGAATTAGAGCCTCGCATGCTGTGGAGCGGAGCTGAGCCACGCACACATCTCACCTTGGTAACTCTCGCTTCAGGCACACTCTTGAGGTGGTTTTAATCCTAGAGGTTGTGGTGGTGTTAGAAACACGCATTTAAGAGCAACATTTGTGTTGCTCAGTAACAGAAACCTCCATTTCGGCTGGCAGTGGCTGGGTGCCATCAGCAAGGACTTGGGGGAAGGCCTTGCCTCCCTCTGCTTGTCTCTCAGTGGCTGAAGATGCCACACAAACCCTCTTTGGAGCTCTCCCCACATGGTGCCACCCCTCACCTGCCCGGCTGCCTGGAGCTCTGTTTGAGTCCATCAGATGGACGTCCGAGGCAGCTCTCACAGATGCCTGCAGCCTTCCACGCTGGCGGGGCCGGGCAGGGCTGCCTCGAGTGTCCAGTTCTCCCAGGGGAGGGGCCTCAACCATGCTCGGGGCAGAATGAGGCACTGCTAGTCTGTGGGGCCTACGGAGACCCACAGGCCCGGGATGAGAAGCAGTAATGGACAAGCCACAAGCCAGCATCACTTCCTAGAAGATGAGGCTATGTTAAGAGAAGGAAATAGGGGTAAAACTCACCGTTAAACACAGCAAGGCTCACTCAACTTACTAAATAGACACAACAAATAGGAATCCTAAGGTTCCACACTGGGCTCAGTGCCTCTGGAAGGCCAGTGGGTGAAGTGGAGGGGGAAGGGACACGGGGATTGAGGTTTGGGGTCATCAGAGGCATAAAAGGTGCGCATCAAGAGAGGAATACAGGTCTGGATCGGGAAGAAAAGCACCGGAGGACCTCACGATCCCACCTCGCCGTGGGCCGCCACACCTGCTGCCATCTTCCTCCACATTGGTTGTGCACACAGAGTCCTGCTCCAGCTAGAGGAGCACTTGCCTCCTGCGGGAGTGGCACCGCAGACCCCCTGGCCGCTGGGCTGCTCTGGGTCGCAGTACCCACTCACTCCTAGGCTCTGTATTTGCACCAGGTGGGAACTTGGGGTGAGGGGGTATGCATTCATGCACGTACACATGCATGTATGCATGCTGGTACTAAGGCCTGAACACAAGACCTGGCTTTGGTCTCTTAGCTTTTTCCACTCACTCACTCAAGGCTAGCGCTCTACCACTAGGGAGCCACAGCTCCACTTCCAGCTGTCTGCTGCTTATCAGAGGTAAGAGACAGACTTTCCTACCTTTCTTTTGATGATCCCCAGATCTCAGCCTCCTGAATAGCTAGGGTTACAGGTGTGAGCCACCAGTACCTGTCTGGGAGCTAAGTTTTGAAAGTCCTGCAGTGATTTTTCTACATAAAGCAGGTATGTCTTTGGTGCTGGAGTTGGAATCCAGAGGGGCCTCACGCATGCTAGACGGGTGCTCTGCCATGAGCCTACCTCCCCCACCCCCAGTCCTGTAGTGCAGGTCTGGCTGAAAAGACTGAAAGACACAGGCTGGTAGTCAAAGTGAAGGTTTATTCTTACATCTGAATGTTTTAGATCTTGCGATTTGCATATGCAAAGTATAAAGCAACATTCACTGTCATAATCAGAGCAAGATCAAATTATAAATGGAATAAAGAAAAACATGAGAGTGGGGACCATAAGACAGATAAAGACTGCACATAAACACAGCTTAGTTAAACAAAAATATATCAGTAAACATGTTTTGTTTTAAAAATGGGCATGTCTCCAAATGCTAAAACACAGGGATCAGGCTCATTTAAAAAAGTTTTTAAAAACACATAAAAATACCTTTGAAAACCCAGGTGTGCATTCTTGCCTCTAGCACATGGAGAGAGTAACGTAAGTCACACAGTGACCAGGGAACTGTCCCAATCAGCAAGCTCAGCTTCTGATCGCTATTTAGCATTGAATCACAACTGCATGCAACAGAGACAGACTGGAGAAAGGAATGGCTGCCTTATGCCCCACTTTCTCTGACAAGGGGAGGGATGAACGTGCCCGGGGCACAGCAGATGCCCGGCACACATCTGTCTATGAACCGCTGTGCACTCAGCTGCTCTTCAGCCCAGGAGGCTATCTGTTGGCCTTGGCAGAGGCTGCGCAGTCAGGGCTGCAGAGGGGCCCTGTGTCCATGGGGGAGCGGCGGCAGCGTGTCTCTGGGAGGGGATGAATTTAAGGACAGGCAGAGCCCAGCAGTGGGCACCTGGGACTGTCATGATGGCAGGGAAAAAGAAAAGACACAAAGGGGGCACTTTCCTGAGGACGGCTCGGAAAAAGTTCTCTAAATGCACTTCTTGATACAAGAGATGCAAAGTAGAACTTTAACGGGCTTCAAGGATTTTTGACTACCAGCGCTGAAATTTGGACTTCAGCATCCCAAATAAATGACCAGTCCTCTCAACCCGAGTGGGCTTCAAGTGCTGGGTGGAAGCTAGCGGCCCCCTCTTCCTCGTCAGTCCAAGAGAAAGGCTCTAGGCTGGGGAGGTTAGCACAGACATAGATGGGATCAGATGGTGGCTGGGGAGAAGCACCTTGCACTTTGCTCCAGAAATACCCACTCAACGTCCAGAGGGGAGATGGATCTGGCAGAGGCAAGCCCAGGCCATGGCCAGCAGTCCTGGCCCAACCACCAAGGGTGCTTTTGTCTGTGACAGCTCTTCCCCTTGGAAAGGCTGGGAGCCAGCGGGGCAGCAGAGAAGTTGGGTGACTTGTGCGTCTGGAGGGCAGCACTTGACCCTGGGTTGCACCCACATACACTATCAGCCATCAGGGGTGCAGAGAAAAACAGGCCGGAGAGATGAGCTCTCAGGGAAAATGTCAAATAAGGCTTTTGCATTTGTGTATCTTAAAATGGAAAAAAAAATACCCAGAACTACACATGTTCAATACCTTTAGTAAGTTAGATGGTCTTTCACATTGTGCTCATCTGCTAGATATTTAATGCCCACAGAAAGACAAATGCTATTGAATGAAACATTCCTACATTCACCCTTTCTTTCTTCCATTTTTCTTTCCTTCCTTCCTTCCTCCCTCCTCTCCCTCTGGTCAAAGCCAGCTCTGACAACAGCATCGTTACTTCCCCATGTCAAATGTCTCAGGATTGCCATCCAAAACTAAGATGGATCCTTCACCATGAAGGATTCCTCTTTATTAATCACTGAAAAGTGAGATCTTTCCAAACTGTACAAATCTAGAGTTTTCAGATTTATTTTCTTAAAGTCCTCTTAGCTTTATTGTAAGAAAACTAAGTAAATATCAAAATGCGTCTCTGAAAATTTACATTAAGATTCGCTGGTTCTGGCCATCCTATCCGAATGTGTGCTGGCTGGCTGGGTCGGCATGCTCAGACTCTTCCCCTGAAGATCTGCATGGAAGTGGTTTCAGCAGGCCTCGCGCAAGGCCAGCCCAGGCAGCTGGGCCCAACGCAAGGAACACAGGGAAGTCTGCCTGAATCCCCCAGACGGCTGGCTGGCAGGTGGTACTGCCCCAGGCCACGTGGTGGGGAAGACCTGCCTCGGCCTTCTCTGTCTCTTCCCTTTCACCTGGGCAGTCTGTGATCTTTACAACTGATAATACGGTTGAAACCTAGAATTTTATAAAAGCTCCTGCTTGCATTGCTTTCTGTTGTCGTTCAGTTATAAACTCAGGGATTGAAAGTAAATTCTGACCCCATTTCCAAGTCCTCGATCTTCTTTTTTTTTTTTTTTTTTAAACAAGGGACATGGTTTGGTGTGTCGCATGAGCACAAGTTGTCATCTTAGGGAAGATGACATCTACACATCACAGGTCAGGCTTGCGTAAGGAATTAAGACGTTGGCTGATAGTAGCAGAAATGTGTCTTGTGGGGCCTTAATACATTATTCCAATTTTTAAAAAGTATTTTATGATTTAATAACTACAGCAGATGACCTTTAAAACATAAAAATATATACAAAGAAATTAGGAAGAATATTAATGTCCACTATGAAATAAATTAACATGACTTTTACAAAATATACTGACCATTAAATTAAAAAATATTTTAAGGCAGGAATCTTCATTTGAAATTAGCATAGTCAGAAAATATATCAATAAAATCTTGTACCACTTTATAGCAGAATTCATACTGTTCCTGAAAAAAAAACAAGATTATATTAAAATGGATGCTTTAAAAAATTGATTAGCTCAGACAGAAGCCACAGTAAAACGAAGCGAGTTAAGTCCGCAATTATTAAAGTACTATTTGCCCTCACACACAAAGCTATAAATCTTAGTATTTAGGCATTTGAAAATTTCTTAGAGATAAGCAATGTTTCATTTGAAATTAGTATATTTTAGGAGTAGATCTAGTTTTCATACTTAAACCTGAAAACAATTATCTATCTATAGATATATCTATCTGATAGGGAAGAGAGACAGAGACAGAGTTTGAACTCAGGGTCTGGGTACTGTCCCTGAGTTTTTGTGCTCAAGGCTAGTGCTCTACCACAGCTCTACTTCCAGCTTTTTTTGGGGGGGGGGGGTTCTGGTCGTGGGGCCTGAACTCTGGGCCTGGGCGCTGTCCCTCAGCTCTTCAGCTTAAGGCTAGCGCTCTACCACTTGAGCCACAGCGCCACTTCTGGCTTCTTTTTGCTTATGAGGAATCGAACCCAGGGCCTCATGCATGCAAGGCAAGCGCTCTACCACTGAGCCACCTTCCCAGCCCCCAGCTTTTTTGATAGTTAACTGGAGTAAGTCTCATGGACTTTCCTGCCTGGGCTGGCTTTGAACCATGGCCTTCAGATCTCATTCTCCTGAGAAGCTAGGATTACAGGTACCCAGCAAAACAACTATTTTTGAAATGGAAAATAAAAACTTGCATATTATCACTGTCAGATAAAGTTCATACATCAATACATATTAAATAAAATGAAAACAGATAATCTTTAAGCCTAAATTTACCCTGCCAAAGGGACATTTCTGTCAGTGTGACCAGCACCCCATAGTAGAAATGTCCAGGCTCTGCACAAAGCTTTATACCCACACTGGAGGCCCACCCCGGAAAACAGAGGCCACTTGAATGGTGCTAGGGGCAGCTCAAGCAGCTGAATGTAGGTAAACACTCCCACTGAGTCTGGGCAGCCGGAGTAGAACCTGGTACCAGCCTGACCTAGTGGCAAGCTGCTTGGGCCACCCTGGGTGGGGCAGGAGGCTGTGGGGTAAGTAATGAGTTCTAGCAGCTTCTAAAGCTGCAGTGCTGGTTTAGTGTGCACCCGTACTTTCTGTGAGGAGGCTTCCAAAATCTGGCATCGGGCATCCACATAAGGAAGGAATACAGTGCAGCTGTGTGCCGGGCGGTTCCATGGAACCACCCCATCACCCTAAAGGAAAACCAGACCAAGCGCAATAGTGTGGAGTTGATACTGTAAGAAAGCTGACGGCTCACGCCTGTAATCCCTGCTCCTCTGGAGGCTGAGATCTGAGGACTCTGGCTTGATGTCAGCCTGGATAGGAAACTCTGAAATTCCATGGTCAATCTCTTACTACAGTAATAGCCTTGAGTGAAAAAAGCTAAGGGACAGCGCCCAGGCCCTGAGTTCAAGTTCCAGTTCCAGCATCCAAACAAAAATAAGAAAACAGCAGAACCAACATTTTAAGCTTCAAGACTGCTTAAGCGTGTTTCTAAATACAATGAAGATTCATGCACAGATCTTTCTCTTGGGACTTGCCCTGAGACTGCACCCCACCCCATCAGCCACGGAGGAAGGAAGGGCTCGGTACAGCCCTGTGGAGTCTCGGTGAGGAGTTCTGTCTGGTTTTCTGTCCCACCTCCCACTTAGGCTGGAATTCTGGTAGTGGAACAGACACACCTATGAGCCAGGCCTGCCCTCCACTAGGAAGGCTTGCATCGTTCATCCTTACCAGGGTTTGCACCATGTGTGGTCTCTGCAGCCGTAAGCTCTTCACAGCCTGAAATACATCCAACAGTCCCTCTGCTTTCACTCGCTCCAAAATGTTGCTGAGGGCTATGAACGTGCCTGTGCGCCCGGCTCCCGCGCTGTGGACACAGAGGACGCACTTAGTGGCAACCACGGTGGCGCCTAGCCTACCCTGAGGGTCAGAACCAAAGCAGCTGCAGTCACTAGACCTCTACCAATCACGTGCATGCGACAAGACCCAGCAGACACATCCCAAAGCGTTTGCCTAGTGAGAGTTCCCTGATATGTTCTGAAATGGGTCAGAACCAGCTGGGGGCTTGTAAGCACCATCCCCAAGTGGGGATTCCTGGAGCAGCAGCCTGGCACCACCTGGAGGCTCCTTAGAAGTGTGAGCCCTCAGCAAACCCAGCTTCTTGGGAGGCATAAATAGGATCGTGGATCAGGCTTGCCCAGACAAAAAGTGTGTGTTTTTAATGTGAAAACAAGTAAAGAAAAAAGGGCCAGAGGTGTGACTCAAGTGTAGAGCACCTGCCCAATAATTGTGAACCCAAACTTCAGGATCGTGATGAACAAACAAACAAAAGTGACCACTCCTGGGTCAGGTCCCCAGAGGAAGGACATGACACTGGCCCAGACACAGTGCCAGGTGCTGTCTTCAGCATCTGGTCACCTGCAGAGGGCGATTAAAGACAGGACCGCGGGCACTGACTGCCGCCAACTGTCGGGTGGACTTCCAGCGTGGCGATGGAGGTGGGGCTGGCCTTGCTAAGCTCCCAGGGTCCCGGGTGAGAGGCGGGCTGCCCTCCAGCCTCCCACCTGCTGCTGTGACGTGTCTCGGTGTGGGACCCCTGTGCCACATACGAGCTGAACTCATAGCCTACGCCCCACGGGGTAGAGGGCTCGGTTCTAGTTCATTCTAAATGGAAAGACATCCAGGACTGAAAAGCCCTGGTGTGTGCTCCACCTACTGGCCAGGCTGGGGAGTGCATGCAAGTGCTCTTCCCCTCTGGGAAGTCCGGAACCTTCTTAATTAAGCCCCTGAGTAGCAGGTGGGGACTATAGACAGTCACTAAAGGTGGGAGCCCCAGGTGCAGGAACAGAGACAACCTCACAGCTTTGGTACTAAATCAGTTCCACCTAAGAATGAAATACCCCATTACTACTTGGAAGAGGGTGGGGGCGTGGCCGTGTGGGGTGGGATGGATGGGAGGAGGCCAGGGGCAGGCGGGGCTTCAGATGTGGCTAGATAACCCTTCTTTATGGTGCCATGGCCATCCTCCCTGGGTGCTGTCTCTAGGGGTTCCCTAGAGTGCCCTTTGCCCTCTCGCCTGACCTTTGCCCTGGGTGGGGGCATGCATGCCTTAAGCCTGCGGGCAGGAGGGCGTTGGTCCCTTCTGCTTGAGTTGGCATTGACACGGCCCCGTCCTGACTCCTCGCAGGTGCTTTCTGCGGGTGATGGGTTGACACGCACGCACTGGGTGAAGTTGTGTGCGGACACAGAGCACATAGAAAAGGCGGCATGTGCCCCGCCCTGCCCTGCCATGAGGGGGCGCCCTGGCTGGGGGGGGCACTCGCCTGCAGTGCACCGTGATGGGGTGGTTGCCCGTCTGCTGCTGCTGCTTCTGCACGGCCGCGATGAGGTCGATCATGCCTTTGCCCTCCGCGGGGATTCCAATCTCGGGCCAGCCGTGGAAGTGGAACTGGCGCACCACGCGGACCTGCTCTTCCTGGCAGGACAGGGGCTGTGGGAGAGAGACGGGGGTCACGGCGCTGCCGGGCTCCAGGCCCCTCCCGCAGCCCAGCCAGGTCTGGGAGGCCCCCCCGGCCCCTGTGGCCTCCATCCAGGTGGTCTGAGGTGGCCTGGCTAGCAGATGCTGGGCTTGCCTCTGACATGGGGTGGGGGAGGGGACAGGGGGGCAGGAGAGTGGCCTGGGGGCCCTGAGGGCCTCTCCCCCTCAGCGGTTCACAGGATCCCTGGCACCCTGCACCCTGAGAGGCCAGGACCTGCCTCCCCAGGAGAGGCTGGGGTCTGGAGGCTCAGGTAGTTTGCAACTTGCCTTGAAGCGGCAAGCAGATTTCTTGGACTAACCATGGTGTGCTCAGAACCAAGTCCCACTGGTGCCATGTGGCCCCACTGACCGGGAGGTCACAGGCTCTGCAGGGTGAACGGAGCCCAGGACCCCAGTGGGGGGGGGTGGGAAGGGGAGGGTCCAGGAAAGCTTAGAGGAGACCCCAAGAAGCCCCAACGGCTCCACAAGTGTGGCCCCCACTTCCTCCTGCTAAGGTGTTATCTCTGGGGAATGACCTCTCCCCATCCTCACTCGGCCAGCAAGGAGGCAAGTGACCAGGGAAGTCTAGCTTTACAGGAGATGTGTGACTGGACAACTGCTGGTTGTCCATCGGGGACCCCGGAGAGGTGGGGGAGCGAGGCCGGTGACGGGAACGGGGCCCGCTGGGTCACCGTGATGAGCAGAGCCCTGGGCCCGTGCCTCGTGTGCCTGCCAGAGTCTACAGCCCTGGCCGGTTACCTGACAGAAGGTGACCAGGAAGTCCCGCACGCTGATGGCTTCCGACAGGGTGTCGCTCTTGATTTCAATGGTTATTTCTCCGTGAGTAACCGAGCCCTCGGAAGGCCAGTACTGATAGCACTTATCCTGGGGGCGGCGGGTAGGGAAATGAAATTTAAAGCCTTGGTAGTCATTTGCGGCTTGCAGAATTGTTCTCACACCATTGAATACATTTCATGTAGTCAGGAAAATAGCACGAATATTCACAGGGCGGCCCATCAGTTCAGAGAACAGTCTAGAAACAGTACACAGTACAGAGCAGCGGGGGCTCACCTGCTCACGCTCCTGTACCTCGGTCAGCATCACGATCGTGTGGCACTTCCACTCCCACACCATCCTCCAGAAGTCCTCCACCGTGTGCGCCAGCGGACCCTGCGTGGCGATGAAGTAGTCCTTCTGCCGGTAGCCCTGCAGCAGGGACAGAGTCCGTGTCAGTGACTCCCGGGCACCACCGCCTGCCACGGGCTCTGTCTGGGGCAGCCCGAGGTGGGCAGCTCTCGTCTCCCCTGACTGACCAGAAGCACACGTGTGCACACGCCTCCCCTCCCCCACGTACCCGAGAGGCAGGCAGGCCGCCCCTCCTCTGAGCAGCCCACCTGGGCCTTGAGCCCCTGAGATCATTTCATATATATATACACACACACATACATAAATATATATACATATACACACACATATACATATTTGCTGGTTCTGGGGCTTGAACACTGGGCCTGGGTGCTGTCCCTGAGCTTTTGTGCTCAAGGCTAGTACTCTACCACTTGAGCCACAGATCCACTCCTGGCCTTTTGAGGTTGGTTCATTGGAGATAAGAGTCTTAAGGACTTTCTTGCCCGGCCGGCGATCCTCAGATCTCAGCCTCCCAAATGGCTAGGATAACAGGCATGAGCCCTGCTGCTCGGCCTGAGATCATTTCTGAGTGGCTACCAGGAACTCGCCGCCCCCCCTTCCCCCGAGGACCCTGAACAGGGCCCTGTGACTCCAGGCTTGAATATGGAGCCGACAGAGTGGCTTCATACCCCAACGGCTCTGCCACAGCCCACCGACCCCTGGGGCAGTCGGTCCAGCTGCCAGCGGAGCTGCTAGCAGGCCCTTGGTGGTAAGGCTCCCTCACGCCTGATTTTCTGATTGCATGGTGGGTGTAGCACAGAGCAGCCGTGGGCCCAGGCACACATCACATAGCTCAGGTTTCACCCAGAAGAAAGCCCACAGAACGTGACGTATGTGCAAGAAGCGCGGTGTGCAGGAGGCGCAGAAGGGAAACCTAACCAGCGACACAGGGCACATCTGTTCCTACGCTTCCCTTCCCACAAAACACCCAGGGCTGAGGAAGCGTCTTTGGAGATGGGCCAGTGCTTTCTCGGGAAGATGAGTTAGCCAAGAGTGGGAAGACGGACAGGAATCACCCTGGGCCACGCAGGTCACCCTGGACGCACAGCACATACGTCGATGAAGGATGCGTTGATGTAGTCCGTGTATTCCTGGCCTCTCTTCATGGACAGGATCACCCGATTAAAGTCATCTGCAAAGAACCATTCCTCAGGGTCAGCAGAGGTGGAACCCTCTGGCTGCACTCTGACCCGCGGCCTGTCGCCTGCCAAAATACAAACTGCCCAGCAAACGCAGGGAAGTTTCCATGATCAGTTAAGTTACTAAAGCGGAGCTGCAAATAGAAACACTTCCTTTTTTGGTAGGAAAGCTCTTAAAATAATCCAGTAACTGTTTTGATTTTCATAAAAAACACTGCATTTAAGGAATGAGAGGAGTTGAGATCTGAGGATCTAGGCTTGAAGCCAACCTGGGCAGACAAATCTGTGAGACTCCAGTTAACCAGAAAAAAGCCAGAAGTAGAGGAATGGCTCAAGTGGTAGAGTGCCAGCCTTGGGTGAAAAAGCTAAGTGAAACAGTGAAGCTTTTAAGTTCAAGCCACATTTGTGTGCGTGTGCAGGCATGCACGCACACACACAAACACACACACACACACACAAACACACACTGGAATGAAAGGAATGATACCCAGGCAGTGCCCTGGGGCCACAGCAGGAAAACACCTCCCCCCCCCCCCCCGGCACAGAGAGTCAAGGGTCTCAGGGTGGGAGGTGCTCAGCCCTCCAGACCCGAGCGTTCCCCTCAGTACAGCGACCCTGGTCAGAGCAGCCTGTTCACAGCCATTCAGCAGCCGTGTGTGCTGGCTGAGCAACAGGCCACAGAACACATCACAGGTGACAATGACACACGTGGATATATAGACACACTTTGTGTCTGATACAGATGACACACTGTGGTGTAGACACACTGTGTAGATGACACACTGCGTGTGGTGTAGACACACTGTGTGGTGTAGATGACACACTGTGGTACAGACACACTGTGTGTGTGTGGTATAGACCACACTGTGTGTGGTGTAGATGATACACTTCGTGTGGTGTAGATGACACACTGCGTGTGGTATAGATGACACACTGCGTGTGGTGTAGATGACACTGTGTGTGGTATAGATGACACACTGCGTGTGGTGTAGATGACACACTGTGTGTGGTGTAGATGACACATTGCGTGTGGTGTAGATGACACTGTGTGTGGTATAGATGACACACTGCCTGTGGTGTAGATGACACACTGCCTGTGGTGTAGATGACACACTGTGTGTGGTGTAGATGACACATTGCGTGGTGTAGATGACACACTGCCTGTGGTGTAGATGACACACTGTGTGTGGTGTAGATGACACATTGCGTGTGGTGTAGATGACACTGTGTGTGGTATAGATGACACACTGCCTGTGGTTAGATGACACACTGCCTGTGGTGTAGATGACACACTGTGTGTGGTGTAGATGACACATTGCGTGTGTAGATGACACACTGCATGTGGTGTAGATGACACTGTGTATGGTGTAGATGACACACTGCGTGTGGTGTAGATGACACACTGTGTGTGGTGTAGATGACACTGTGTGTGGTGTAGATGACACACTGCGTGTGGTGTAGATGACACACTGCGTGTGGCGTTAGAAGACACACTGTGTGTGGTGTAGATGACACACTGCGTGTGGCATAGAAGACACACTGTGTGTGGTATAGATGACACACTGCATGTGGTGTAGATGACACACTGCGTGTGGCATAGATGACACTGTGTGGTATAGATGACACACTGCGTGTGGTGTAGATGACACACTGTGTGTGGCGTAGAAGACACACTGTGTGTGGTGTAGATGACACTGCATGTGGCATAGAAGACACACTGTGTGTGGTGTAGATGACACACTGCGTGTGGCATAGATGACACTGTGTGTGGTATAGATGACACACTGCGTGTGGTGTAGATGACACACTGCGTGTGGTGTAGATGACACTGTGTGTGGTGTAGATGACACACTGCCTGTGGTATAGATGACATACTGCATGTGGTGTAGATGACACACTGTGTGTGGTGTGGATGACACACTGCGTGTGGTGTAGATGACACACTGCGTGTGGTGTAGATGACACACTGCGTGTGGTGTAGATGACACACTGCATGTGGTATAGATGACACACTGTGCGTGTGGTGTAGATGATACACACACTGTGTATGGTGTAAATGACACACTGCCTGTGGTATAGACACACTGCGTGGGGTGTAGATGACACACTGCGTGTGGTGTAGACACACTGTGTGTCACGTAGCTGTGTCCTATATGATGCATGCCAGGCAGTGTCCACATGCTTCTGCAGCTCACTTCTGCCAGCTTTCTGGGCTGGGTCTTACTGGGTCTTACAGACAGTTCCCTCGACCCCATCTTGGGCTCATGGTTTGACTCCACAAAGCAAAACCCTGCCTGAGTTCACTTCCTGTCTGGCCTAGCTCCTAGCTGGCCGCATGACTTTGGCCATGTTGCTCTCCACCCATGCTTGGGGGAGCACTGAGAGGGGACAGAGGTGCCGGGCCAGGCCTGGGGCAATTCTCTCAGCTTCTCAGGGCCTCAGAGCCACACCCTAGGCTTCAGCCTGACCCAGCAGGCTGTGCACCCCCCAGGGGCCTGGAGCCTGGACCACACAGCTGACCAAACACCCATACGCCTAGGGCAGGCCCGTGGCACTGTCCACCTGTCCTTGCTATGGGTTTGCAGCAGTGATCAAAGGTCTCAGCCTCCACCCCCACCATCGCAACGGCCCAGCCTACACCACGGGGCCGCCTTACAGGGGATGATCTGGATGACTCGAGCCTTCTTCATGTTGGCGGGCAAGTTCCCTGTCCTCATGTTCTCCTTCATGATCCGGACGTTCGTCAGCTTCTAAGACAAGAACACAAGGGCGCAGGTGAGCCTGCAGCCTCCGCTGCTCCTGGGCACAGGTGTGACAGGAAGTACCTGCCGCCTCCAGAAGCCACCTGTGCGATGGGACAGGGACCGCGTCTGTGTGCACCTGCGCCCGCCTGAGTGCCGCAGGGACGGCTCAGACAGGAGGCTTCGGACACTGCGCTCACCCCTGGCCCTGGGCTGCCTGCCCAGCATGCCCAGGGGGCCTGTGCTCACCCTGAATTCCTCCTCCAGCCCGACCTTGTCGAAGTGGGCGGTGGTGCTGTGCAGCGTCTGCAGGTGGTGCTCCAGCGAGGACACGTCTAGCTCCGTGTCGCCGTAGAGGTAGTACTCCAGCAAGGCCTGGTAGATGAACGTGTACTGCACCTGCGGGGCGGCAGGCCGGAACCTCGACTCTGCCCTGGGCCAGGCCCCCAGGTGGGTGGGAGGGGGGAAGGTGTTCTCCGCTTTGGCCGGTGGAAGGTAAGTCAGAGCAAGGGTTGGATTCAAGGCCATATAAACCAGCCTCCAGGACCCTGTAGCAGCTGCTATTTATGGGCTTGCCAGGCACCATCCCGGAGAAAACACCCCCACGGCCTTGAGGATATGAAGGACAATGGCCAGAGGGCCCATGAGGGCAGAGGGAGGAAGAGGCGGACTAGGAGGGACCCCAGGCCTCCACCAGGCAGGCTCTTTCCCCCCCCGGGATACCCACCCATGAACACCAGGGCTGCAGGGAGGGGAGGAAGATGCCTGGGCCGTGCTAGGCCGAGACCCCGGTGGAAGGGGCAGCACTCACATCCGTCTGTACCATCTGAGGCCGCTGGTTGCGGATGCGAGACACAAACTCAAAGACGTCCACCTTCTGTTCCAAGTGGATCATGTCCATCATCGCGTCGATCACGATGAAGGTGCCCGTCCGGCCCACGCCCGCACTTTGGAAAGAGAAGGTGCCACTTTGTGAGTCACATTCCCCTCATGTAAATGACAACTCTGGAGAGACCCCCCCCCTCCACCCTCCCCACCCCCTGTCAGGACCGAGGATGCTGCCTACACCAATGTGACCTGGTACCTCTGGTCAACTTGGGTGAACAGGAACAACCCTGTGTGGGCCACCAGAGGGCGCTGCAGGCCAAGTAACTGATCCCACCCCACTGGGCTTTGTAGGCAGGTAGATTCCTCCAGCTCCCAACTCTGTCCCCTTGTCACTAATGTAACAGTGTCCTGGAAAGAGTGTGTGTGTGTGGGGGGGGCTGGGACACACAGAGAACCCCAGGGACTCTGAGGGCCAGGCGGGTGGACCTGCCCAGAGCGGCTCTCCTTTCAAGCAGCTTTAGACCTGGGCTCCCCTCAGATGCCCATGAGGAGGGGGCTCTGGGCCTGGGCCTCTGCCAGCTCTCTTCCCACAGGGCGCTGAGCAGCAGGTGGGGAGCTGTGTGTGTGCTGGGGTCCCTCGGTCCACCTCGACACTGCTCCCCTGCCCTTCAGCGCGGTCCCCCCCCCCCGTACCTGCAGTGCACCACGATGGGGCCGGCGTGGGAGGGGTTGAGGGTCCTCACTTTCTTCAGGAACTTCAGCATCCCGATGGGGGTGAAAGGCACTCCGAAGTCCGGCCAGCTGGTGAAGTGCAGCTGGGAGACCAGCCGAGGGGCTTTGCAGCCCTCGGCCAGCTGCTGCGGGAGACACCCCGGAAATGTCAGGGGCGGAGCCGCCTTCTGCTGCCCCCCCATCCCTAAAAGGCTCGGGGCTGCGGTGCCGGCCGGGCTGAGCACCACCAGCATGCGGCGGACGCAGCTATGCAGCGCCTGCCGCAGCGAATCACACTCAGGCCGGTGAGGAAGGGCTGCCCTCTGCAACCCAGACCCCCCACTCCTGCGCTCCGATAACAGCCAACAGCAGCTCCCTTCGTGCGGGACAGACAGCGGGTCAGCCCGAGCGCTGGAGACCCTCGGAGCCTCCCTCCGCTTCTGGGCCCCGCCACCCATGCACTTCCTGAGAGCTGCCCCAGCCCACCCTCGGAAGCTCGTGGAGAGTCTCTGTAGGAGCGTGTTTGGGTGTGGTGGGCACATCTGTAATACCAGTACATGGGAGGCTGAGGCTGGTAGACTGTGAGGGCCCGGCCAGCCCAGGCTACAGCACAGGAGCTGAATGAAAACCAAAAAAGGAAGGAAAGGCAGGGTGCTGGGGGCTCACGCCCGTCATCCTAGCTACTCATGAGGCTGAGAGCTGAGGATCACAGTTCAAGGCCAGCCCAGACAGGGACATCTGTGAGACTCTTATCTCCAATAAACCACCAGAAAACCAGAAGTGATGCTGTGGCTCAAGTGGTAGAGCGCTCACCTTGAGCTGAAGACCTGAGGGACAGCGCCCAGGACCTGAGTTCAAGCCCCACGATTGACCAAAAGAAAAAAAGAAAGAAGAAGGGAAGGAAAGAAGCAATGAGAGAGAGAAGGAAGGAAAGGGAGGGAGGAAATGTGCCAGTGTGTGTGTGTGTGTGTGTGTGTGTGTGTATGTGTGTGTGTGTGTGTGTGTGGCTATGAACATGTGTTGCCTGTATATCAAGAAGATAAACCAGTGCAGGATAATAATTCCTCCTGACTTGTGCAGTGCCAGGCAGAGATCACACCCCGGACTCGCCAGTGCTGGCAAGAGCTGCCCGTGGAGCCCGCCCAGCCCGGCTTCCCCTCCTGCTGTGGCTGCTGGCAGCCTGGGCTCATTTCCTGTAGCATAATCCCTCCAACCCTCCGCCTTTCATTCCTGACAAATGACCTGCTTTCCCCTTGGCTTCAAAATGTCTCACACTCATATTCCATCCCGTGTTTATGGGCATTTGTACTGGAGGCTCCCTTCACTCTCTTTGGGGGGAGGAAACCAACATGAAAACACAAAACACAACAAAACAAGGGGGTTTTCAACATAATCTTGAAACTTAAAAAACAATCTGCATCAGTGGCTCATGCCTACGATCTTGGCTACGCAGGAGGCTTAGATCTGAGGACCCAGGCTCCAGCCAGCTCCAATTAACCAGCAAAAGGCCAGAAGTGGAGCTGTGGCTCAAGTTGGAGAGCACCATTCTTGAGCAAAAAAGCCAAATGAGATCATGAGGCCCTGAGTTCAAGCCCAAGTACTGGCAAAAGCCACACACACACACACACACACACACACACACACACACACACGCACACACAGGTGTACACATGTACACATGCACACACAGGTGCACACATGCCTCCCAGGTCCAGCACGGTGAATGACACCGTGCTACTGGAGGGGCTTGGTCCAGAGCCAGCTTCCTCTGAGGGACCCTCTACAGCCCCCACACTCCTGTTCGGGGGTTCCCAGCCCAGTCCAGCTGGGCCCCAAGCTCCGCTTCCCGCCACGGTGTCTCAGTGGGAGCTGTGGACATGCAGTCCAGCCCGCCAGGACGGCCCGGCTTGGACGGCTCCGGACTGGGCCTCCGCAGAGAACGAGGCTCCGTGAGGAGCACCCGGGGCGGCTCACCGGCTGAACGCAGAACTTGCGGACGGTGTAGTCCACGAGCACCAGGCAGTCTTCCACACACACGCGGATGTTGCCGTAGGTCCAGCAGCCCTGGTCCGGCCAGTACTGGTAGCACTTTTCCTGCAGGGGACAAGTTATGGACACAGAAAGATGGGTGAGTCTCCACTCCTCCTCCCCTTAGAAACACAGAAAGGGGGACACCACGCACTGCTGCAGCCCGGGGCGCCCCACAGCCCAGTTCCACATCCCTAGCTCACTCTCTGCGGACGCCCATGTCCTGCTTAGTGGGTGTGCCCCGCCAGGCTGAGCATGCTTATTTTGGAGCTGGGGTACCTCACCCCAAATGACCCTCAGGCTGGAGCAGGGATCACCCCACACCCTCCAGATATTTACCCTGGAATCCACCCTTGCGCCCACCGGCCCGGCAGCACACGCGCATTGGAGCCAGGCTGCTCAGGGGAGAGGCAGGGTGGCACTAAGGAGTCCGCTGCCTGCTGACCAGGGCAAGGCCAGCAGGAAAACATGCACAGTGGCAGCCGTTACAGACAGATCGTTTACTTAGTTATTTACTTAGTTACTTTTTCAGTCATGAGACTTGAACTCAGGGCCTAGGCGCTGTCCCTGAGTTTTTTCATGCAAGGCTAGCACTCTATCGCTTTGAGCCACAGTACCACTTCCGGCTTTCTGGTGGTTCATTGGAGATAAAAGTCTCATGGATTTTCCTGCCCAGGCTGGCTTGGAGCCATGATCCTCAGATCTCAGCCTCCTGAGTCGCTGGGATGACAGGCGTGAGACACTGGTGCCCGGCTGGAATTCTCTCTTTGATTCCTCTGGAATCAAAGCCGAGTGCCAGGGCCTTGGTTTTCAGGTGGCTTTGGTAGCTAACTAGCAGCTGGCGATCCACTAGCCTGGACCCCATAAGTGCCGGGGGGCCCACTGGGGAGGGAATGCTCTCCCCCCCTCCGTGGAGAAGTCTCTGGAGTGCCCCCCCACCTCTCCCAGTTAATCCCAGAAATCGGAAATGGCACAGCCAGGCCTCCGGGATTAACAGTCAAAAGCAGAAGGGCCTGCCAGGATGACCAGAGAGGCCGCCTCCTGCAGCCAGAAGAACCCGGCCTGCCGTGAGCCTTGGGGCGGGGGGGGGAGCTCGGAGTTCGGGGCGCCCGCACCCCGGCCTCCCTCAGGTCACGCGATGCCAGCTGCGTTTCACAATGAGCTGCCAGGGATGTGGGCGCTGCAGAGCACACGGGAGAGGCCGCCCCCGAGAAAGAGGAAGTCGCTTGAGAAATGATTTCGTCGGAAAGGGTGGACACCAAGAGCACGGACAGGCAGCCCTGAGTCACGGGGGGAGACACGCAGTGGGGTGTGGGGGTGGGGGGCTGGGAGGACGTGGAGGCGATGCCGGGCCGCACGTGACCACGAGGCGGGCCTGGCGCTGGCCTCACTGCGGTCTCAAGCTTGCAGACGCCCTCTGGGGACGCCCGGAGCACAGCTTTCCTACAAGGGCGGGGACAAGGTGGCATGGGCCTCCATCCCTCTTTCCATTGGTGACCAAGGAATGAAGGCAGGGATGGCACGGGGAGGCGATCTGGCCCCGAGAAACCCAAACTGCACGCCCACCTTGCTGGGGACCAGGAGGTAGAATTTGCACCCGGAGCCCTGCCTTGCTGCCGTGGGGCCCGCGTGTCCGTGGGCAAGGTGCTGCCAGCCAGGGCAGGGGCTGGGCAGGCAGCTACTTCCTATCAAGTGGGGGCTTTCATGCTGGAACATGCTAGAAGCACACTTTCCTAACTGGAAGCCTGCCGTGGGCTCCCAATTTGCCTTTCATTCGAAGACCCAGCTCCTTGTTTATGGCGGCTCTGCCAGGACCGCCCCCTGCCAGTCGCAGCCGGATCCGTCCCGGCCCCCAGCCCCCAGCTCGGCAGAGGCCGCGGCAGTGCGAGGCATGGAAGCATCCTGAGGGCTCTCGGTCGGTCACTGCCATTTGGTGAGCGTGTACACGTGATCCTCCTGTGTGTCTAGTTGCTCAGGTGCATTCTGTGAGCAGTACGTGTGGACGGTACGTGTGAAGTCATGGCTCACACTGTGATCCTAGCCACTCGGGAGGCTGAGATCTGTGGACCATGCTGAGTGTGATGTCGGGTTCATGTGTCACTGGGCCCACTCCAATCTGTGCCCCACGCAGTGTAAACCCCTACCCCGAAGTCGCTGCGAGCGGCGGGCCAGCTTCGCTTCCTCAGAGCTCCAGATCGGGAGCCGAGGATCCAGGAACACAGAAAACAGACCAACTTCCAGGCACAGTGCTGCAGGGCATGGGGGCAGAGCACCGGAAGGGCTGGGACAGGGGACAGGGCTAGCCCCCAGGGTGGACTTCCAGGCAGGGTGGGGGCCGACCGCTCACCTCCTTCCTCTCCTTCAGGTTGGTCAACATGACGATGGTGGCTGACTTCTGCTCCCACACCATCCTCCAGAAGTCATTCACCGTCTCCTGCTTAGGTCCTGCAGGCAGACAAGAGGGCCAGGGTCATGGACTCAGGGAGTGGAGTCAGAGCCTCGGCCCAGCACCCAGCCTGGGTGGCCGTTTACCTTCCCTGAGGCTCTGGGTGGGTGTTCTGGTTTGGAGCCCAGCTCTGCACGGTTCACGTGTGAATGAAGAGCTCCATGAGTGATGGGGGGGGCATGTGGGATCGGTTGTGTGTGTGTGTGTGTGTGTGTGTGTGAGAGAGAGAGAGTGATGATTCACTCTCGGTGTCTACAGCCCTATCCTTATCAAACTCTGAATCTCTCAGCTTAGAGCTGTCCAATAGGATGGGAGCTGATATTCCCGGGAGAAACCTGAAGACAAGAGTACCATCAAAGAAAGTCCTGGCCCCTGGTTCATTTCCTGCCTGGATGAATACAGACACAGCTCCTGGAACAGCAGCAGTCATTTTGTGACCCTGTTGGGAAGGGTCACGGGACAGGCTGTCCCAGTGTTGGGCTGCCTTCCCCTGGATGTCGGTCCGGGTCAGCCGATGGTGGGCTGGGCTGAAGCACCCTGACACCCGCCCATCTGTGCATGCACATGGACGGTAGCTCCTCGTTATTTCCCAGGAAATCTGGATTTGTGAGCTGCTGGCTACTGTGGCGGGCACTGGATGGGGGAACTCACTTATAGACTTGGGGTCTCAGAGAAGGAAGGGAAGGTCTCAGAGAAGGGGGAGCTCTGAGTTTGGCCACATTGCTCCCCAGCTGTGCATAGCACTGGCTCCTGTTCGCAAGGGCCGGGAGGCTGGAGCTAGGTGAGGGGTCCGAGTGCCAGGTTAAGGATGTTTTCACAGCTGAAGCATCTGGACAATGACCTTGGTCTAAAAAGCTACTCATTCCCTCACCCCTAAACTTGAGAGTCTCGTGGAGCTAAGCAGCTGAGAGCAGCAAGGTTGTGTGATGAATGCAAACCTCAGGATGCCAGACTTGGAGACGGAGGGAGCTGCTGGTCCTGCGTGTGTTCATGTGTGGCTGTGTGTATCCATTGTGAGCACAGAGAGCCAGAGTGTGATGCGATATAACAGACACAGAAACACACACATGTGAAACACCAGCACAATGCCTGTCATCCCAGCTACTTGGAAGCAGGGATTGGGAGAATCACAGGTCAAGGCCAGCCCAGGCAGAAAGGCAAAACACCATCTCAATCAACAGCTGGACGCAGTAGTGTGCACCTGCCATTCTAGCTACATGGGCATCATAAATAGGAAGATCACATTCCAGGGCACCCATGTAAGTCCTGATTGACAAAATAAAGGTAAAAGGCCTAGGGTTGTGGCTTGAGTGGTAAAGCACCCGCCTAGTGAGTGCAAAGTTCTGAGTTTAACACCCATTCTCATAAAAAACCCAATGTAAGTTATTGGCATTGTTGGTATATAGATATCCACATTACTTTATAAAAATATCACTTAGGGGCTGGGAAGGTGGCTCAGTGGTAGAGTGCTTGCCTTGCATGCCTGAGGCCCTGGGTTTGATTCCTCAGCACCACATAAGCAAAAAGAAAAAAGCCGAAAGTGGCGCTGTGGCTCAAGCAGTAGAGTGCTAGCCTTGAGCTGAAGAGCTGAGGGACAGCACCCAGGCCGAGTTCAGGCTCCACAACCGGACCCAAAAAAAACAAAAAAACACAAAATATCACTTAGACACTAGCTTAATAAAAGGCTTACCTTGAGCTGCTATGAATTTATTCTTTTCTTTGTAACCCTAGGAAAGTAAAAATAAGAGTTATATAATTATCTTTGAGTGCTTGCCTTCCATGTATGAGGCCCTGGGTTCGATTCCTCAGCACCACATAAGCAGAAAAAGCAGGAAGTGGCACTGTGGCTCAGGCAGTAGAGTGCTAGCCTTGAGCTGAAGAACTGAGAGACAGCGCCCAGGCCCAGAGTTCAGGCCCCATGATTGACAAAAATCAATCAATCAATCAATAAAATTATCTTTGGCTGGGCACCAGTGGCTCATACCTGTAATCCTGGCTACTCTGGGGGCTGAGATCTGAGGATCATGATTTGGAGTCAGGCTGGGCAGGAAAGTCCATGCAACTCTTATCTCAAAGGAACCACCAAAAAGCCAGAAGTGGAGCTGTGGCTCCAATGGTCAAGTGCTAGCCTTGAGTAAAAATAATCTCAGAGATAGTACCCAGGTCCCAGGTTCAAGCCCCAGAACCAACACAAAAAATTACCTTGAAGAGATATTTTTCTTGTTAGGAAAGAAATATATGTTCACCCAGAGAGTTTGGAACACAAGAAAAAAAAGAAAGAAAGAAGGTAGGAAACTAGCAATAACAGAAAGGACAAATGCTATGTTCATATATCCCTGCTCTAGTGTTTTTGTGTATGAAAGAACTTTTCCACTGGGAGAGGGCATGGGAAGGCGTGACATTGTCCAAGAAGAAATGCACTCATGACTTGGCTTATATAACTATAATCCCTGTGTATAACACCTTTATAATAACAACTGAAAAACACAGATAAAAAAAGAGCGTTTCCCATACACACACAAAAAGACACAAAACACATAATTTTAGTTGGGCAAATGTGCAAATCTTTATATTTTAAATGAGAAATTGATGGCTTCCATAAGTGATCTTCTAAAGACCAACTAGATGAGGTGTTAAGAGGCTCTCACTACATACGTATGGCTTGACCACAATTATAGAAGTGGTGAACGCGTTTCTGCAGTTCTGATCACCCCAGAGCCCTCCCTGCCCCAAGCAGCAGCTCTGGCCTGGCTGGGGACAGAAGGCCAACTTACATCTATGTAGGAAGCATTGATGTAGTCTGAGCAGGGAACCCCATCAACCTGGCTCAAAATCACCCGGGAGCGGTCATCTGAAAAGGAGGAAACAAACCCTCGTGGGTGAAGGAATGGAGAAGGGATGGCAGGCCTGGTCTCTCTTCACCGGCACTACTGACCACTAGAACAGACATTGTGCTTCACTGAGCTGCGGCCCACCTGTACCACGGCCACTGGACGGCCACAGCTAGGGCTTCAGCTCCCAGCATGCCGCCTCTGAGCGACCACAGCACAGACCCTGAGGGTCTGTGTTCAAGACGCCTCGTGTGGTGTGTAGATGTGGGGGAGGTGTGCAGAGCATCGAGGCGTGTCCTGAGGAGCTGCTGTGTGTGTTGTGGTGTTATGTGAGGGGTGCTGCAGCATGTGCAGTGGTTTGAGTTGCGTGCTGTCTGTGCTGGGCCCGGTGTGGATGTGCTGTGAGAAGTGTGTGTGGTGTGGTAGGCTGCGCATGTTGTATGGTGTAGGTGTGTGTTGCATGTGTTCCGTGGGACATGCATGCTCATGGTGAGGCGGGTTGTGTGTGTTGTGTGGTGTAAGTAGGTGTCAGGGGTTATGTGGTACCTATGTGTGCATGGTGTGTTGTGTGGAATGCATGTATGCCTGGTGTACGATGCACACACAGGTGTGTTCAGACATGCATGATGCGTGTGCAGTGGGGCTTTGGCAGGGTCTGTGCTGGGCCCTCTGTGACCTGGGCCTCCCTGGCCTTCCATCCATAAAAGCCATGGGAAAGTCCCTCCTCCTCCCCGCCCCCCAAAGCTCCCCGTCCCCACCCCGCCCCGAGGGCAGCCGGACTCCGCAGAAGGAGACCCAGGGCTGGCCAGGCTGGCTGTGTGCCTGAGCGGTTCCCTCCCTCAGAGAGGGGCCGATTCCAGGGCCCCAAAGCACAAGGTGGCAGGTCCTCCAGGGCAGAGGGAGCTGCTGCCTGCCTTCAGCCCTGGTGGGCACTCCCAGCCCAGGGCAGCACTGCCTTGAGAGTCTCCAGAGCCGCCGGTAAGGCAGGGGCTCTGTGCCACTCCCTGCCTTGTCAGAGTCTGGCCCCTCCTGTCCTGTCTGCTGTCTGTCTGTCTATGCCAGGGCTGGGCCTCATCCTCAAGGCTGCTGGCCTGTCTGGGCTCCTGGCTGAGCCGCATCTGTCCTGCTTGGGGTGGGGTCAGTCACAGCTCCCACAGGCCGGGCCAGTGGCTGATCCCAAACCTACAGCCAGCGGGACGACCCCACGGCAGAAACAGCCCTGGCTGGCTGAGCACCTGCCAGGCTGGCGGAAGAAAATTTGGAATGACTTCTATTTTGAGGACAGCTAGAAAATCACAGCGGGGGAAAAACAGCCTCTGGTTAGACTGAGAGGCTGGCAGTAAGTGCTTCATGAGCATGTGTGTGCCTGTGTGCATGTGTCCATGTATGCGTGCATGTGCGCGTGTGCACGTGTGTGTTCATTCTAAAATGTCACCACCTCCCAAACGTCCTTTCCTGCAGTTCCCGCCGCGGGCGCTCTCCTCTCCAGCATGGACGTGGCTGAGATGGCCGGGGGCCTCTTAGGAATGCGGCATGGGTCACTAGCTGGTGTCTCAATGTCCAGCCTGACCTTCTGCTCCCTGGGGGGGCCGGGAGGCAGCTTTGACCCAACTGCCCGGTGCAATAGACCTGCTTCTTCCTCAGCCCCAACCTACCACGGGCCCCAAACCGACCCCCTGCCGCCCCGTACACACCCCCCGGGGCTGGAGGGACCCCACCCATGCGGGCAAGCGCTGTGAGCCCCTGGGATGCTATGCACAGTCTCTGGGGTCCCAGAACAACGGTTCCAAACCTTACACACTTCCACGTGCAAGCCCCAGAGGGGGTCAACTGGCAAGAGGACGCGGGGAGCGTCGATTCTGCTCCTCCTGAGGAACTGAACTGTCTAATACCGGGTTGAACTCGGGGCTCTGTGCTCGCTAGGCACTGGAGCCATGCCTCCACTGCACTTTAAGTTTTCCAACAGGGTCTCACACTTTGCCGAGGCTGGCTGGGATGCAGTCTCCTATTTAGGCTATCCACATAGCTGGGATGACAGCTGTAACCTCCACAGCCAGCTCTTTGGCTGTTGAGATGGGGTCTTGTGGATTCTTTTTTGTGCAGTCTGGTCTTGAACCACAAGCTACCGCATTTCAGTCTCCACCGTACTGGGTGGTGGGGGTGGCAGCAGTGAGGGCCGGGAAGGCTGCTTCTCCTCCTCCTCTTCCTCCTCCTCTCTCTCTCTCTCTTTTTCTTTTCTTCTGCCTCCTCTTTTTAGTTTTCCCTGTACTAGGGTTTGAACTCAGGGACTGTACTTGCTTGGCTTGCTTACTCAGCTGGAGCTCTACCACTTGCTTCATGCCTCCAGTCTGGCTTTTTTGTTGATTATTTTGGAGCTAGAGTTTCCTGCGCTTTCCTTCCTGGGCTGGGAATTGGAGAAGCCCTTGGAAGATGCTGTTCTGTTAGTCCACAGGTCAAGGCTGTCCATGCCAGGCTGGGTGGGCTCCAGGCTGGGTGAAAGGTTTTGCACACCCGTCACTCGTAGGCCAGAGTGTGCAAAAGCTGCTGCGAACGTGTGAGCTTGTCGTGGAGGTGAGTTGGGCACAGCCCAGCAAACTACGGCGGGTCCTGAGATGCCCGGCACATGGCCCTCTTCACCCCACCTCTGCCACACCCCATGCTCCACAGAGAACCGCCCTGGAATGCTCTCTAGCCACAGTGCCAAGCCCCCAAGGGTTCCTCGTTCTGCCAGTGCTGTCCTTGGCCCAGGACCCCAGGGCACACTGGGGATTTGCTGCAGCTTGTGGCCGGGAGGGGAGGTACCCAGGGCACTGTGGCCCAGCCAGGGGCTCAGGAGGACCCTGCCTGCACTCCAGGGCTGCATCCCTGGCCCTCTTGTCCCTGGGCACCCAGGCCTCTGCACAAGCACAGGCTTACCTGTGAGCAGGTAACCATTTGAGCAGCAAAGGAGTCTAGGCACCTGGGTGGGAGGCTCCAGCTGCAGGTCCCTCACGCCTCCAGGGGCAAACCCTGAGACAGTCCACTGACCTGGGGACCCATAAGCACTAAGAAATGGAACCTGTAAGCACTAAGCACTACAACTCTGCTTTCAGCACCAACACGGTCTGGGAAGAGCTACAAAGCAAAGCCAAGTTTAGTCCAAACTACACAGATAATACAGAAGAGAAGAAAAACTTACTGGGAAGGATGTTGGGGTATCTGTTTTTCTCTCGGTTTTCATCTTTGTTTGCCAGTTCAAATGTTCCTTGTATGTGTCCCGATGGTAACGACTGGAAGACAACCAAGAGTCAGTGCTCAGTGCTCGCGGGGTCCCAGCCCGCTTTCCCACACTTGACCACCGAGGCCGAGAATCACACCACGTCTCAGAGCAGACCACTTCTGCCCACATCGCGTCTCCGCCTCAGACCCTGTCCCAAGTGCCGACACAGATCCCGGCTTCCACCAGGGTCTTTGGTCTGGTGGGGCCGATGGGATGTGATCACAAGGCTAGATGCTGTGTTTGAAGGTGGGGGCCCCCTTCCACACCCCAGCAGACCCCAGGCTCAGGGGTCCCAGGCAGACTGGGGATGGACTGGCCTTGATGGAGCTCCAACTTGAGAGACAGAAGAGCGGGATGAGGGAGGGAGGGCTGCTGAGATGGGGCGGGGGTTGCTGAGCATCCCCAGAGCGCTTCTGAGAAGCTAGGGGAAGCAAATGTCCTCAGGCCCAGTGCTGATTCTGCTCAGGGTTTGGGGGGTGTCTGGGACCAGCGGTGTTGGGGCTTGGGAGCTCATCAGACACACAAGGCCTCTGAGGCCCTTCCAGGGCTGCAACCGTCATCTATGACACCCGCAAGTGCTCTGGGGCTCTGGGAGCATTGAGGCAGAGGTCCCCTCGGGGTGGGGGGGGACGGACTCTCTCCCTCCACCCCCCCTGCTCTGATGACCCCAACCCCAGTCCCCCAGTTCACCTCTCATGGACAGGTGCAATAGGGCGAACCAGGTTGAGACGCTAGAAGAAGTGATAAGACCAGCAAACAGGGAAAGAGAAGGAAGCGGGACCAAGCATGTCCTCGGAGCACACGAGGAGAGCAGCTGATGGCCGGGCCTGCAGGCCCTGGCGTTCTCAGAAGACAGAAGTGCAGAACCAGGGCCTCCACCAGGGCTGCCCTCACTGGACACAAAAGGCAGAGTAGCAGGAGATCAGGCTCCAGAGGCTGCACCCTGTCCCTGCCTCCCTGCGGCAGACACAAGGCTGGGGCTCAGACACACAGCCAAGGGGCTGCAGAGGCAGGGCAGTCAGGTGAGGAGCATGAGGAGTGTATCCAGGGTGCAGAACTCAGGGATGAAGAGAATGAGTGTCTAATGCAATACATTGTTTGAAAAACCCCATTTGATGTGACAAATCCATAAAGAGCGAAGCTTTTCAATCGTGGAAGAAAGGTTATTGGATTCTGCCAGGGGAATCATATTGAAATCCAGGAAAATAGGAAAAACCCATCACACTGACCCTGACTTTATTTACAATTGTCTGTTTTACTCATCATTCATGACTTACATTAATTTTAATACTTGATTGTTGTTGGGCTAGGGCTTGAATGTAGGGTCTCAGCCCTGCCCATCCCTTAGCTTTTATGCTCATGGCTAGTGCTCTACCACTTGAGCCACAGCAATACTTCAGCTTTTTGGTGGTTAATTGAAGATAAGGGTCTCATGGACTTTTCTGACTAGGCTGGCTTTGAACAGTGATCTTCCTACCTCGGCTGCCTGAGTAGCTAAGATTTCAGGCATGAGTCACTGGTGCCTAGCTAATTTCAGTATTTATTTTTATTTGCTGGCCTTGGGGCTTGAACTCAGGGCCTGGGCACTGTCCTTGAGCCTCTCTGTGTTCCAGGTTAGCACTCTACCACTTGAGCCACAGTGTCACTTCCAGCTTTTTCTGTTTATGTGGTACTGAAGAATCGAATCCAGGGCTTCATGCATGCTAGGCAAGGACTCTACCGCTAAGCCATATTCCCAGCCCCTGATTTCAGTATTTTTTAAATGCTGCATGAAAACATGATTTATCCTGACTCCCAAGTGCTCTGATGCCCTCTGGAAGTCTACATGTGGGCCAAGTACCTGGCTAGCTTCTCAGCCTCCCTCCAGGCATGGCCCTTCCTCGGGGGCCCAGCCCCCATCCCCTGCACAGGGGATAAAAAGTGGAAGAGAAACGGGACAGGCCTGGGGGGGGGAAGGTCAAGAGCTTGTCGCTGCACATACCGATGGTTATTCTGAAAGTGGAAAATTAACTTCTCTTGGCAAGCCAAGAGATTGCAAAACAATAGTGCCTGGAGCTGTCTTTCAATATGACCTAATTTCTAAATAAAAAGGAAAGAAGGTGTGTGTGGGGGGGGTACACAGTTGGAAACAGCAAAGAGGAAGCAAGAGAGATGCCAGTGAAGTTTGTGTGAAAAGTGAGCGCAGTGCGGTTGGAATGGCGGCCTTCTGCTGTGCACTCACGGGTTGTGTCCGGGGAAGAATCCCAGGTGTGCAGGAGCCCGCCCCTTCGCTGTGTAAAACAAACACCTGCAGTGTTTGAAAGCCACTGTCCACACCTCACATCTGTGCTGTGAGACCATTAAAGCAGACCCATCCCCAGGCCCCTTCATGGGTGGCGGAAGTGGCCGGGAGAAGATGGTGGAGGTCCCGAGTCGTAACTCAATGAAATGGCGTCCTGAGGGTGTCAGCCTTCTCTCAGCCTCAAACTCGGCACACAGCCACGCACCCAAAGACCAAGAGCCGGTGGCTCACACCTGTAATCCTAGATGCTCAGGAGGCTGAGGTCTGAAACTCTAGCCAAGGCAGACAAATCTGCATGGCTCTCATTTCCAGTTATCCGGCAAAAAGCCAGGAGAGAAGGTATGGCTCAAGTGGTAGCGCAAACCAGCTTTGAGCAAAAAATCCAAGCGAGAATGGGAGGCCCTGAGTTGAAGCCTGGGAAGTGCCCCCCCCACACACACACGCATGCATGCATACACATACACGCATACATGCACACACATACACACAGAGACATACATGCACACATACACACATACATGCATGCATATACACATATACACATACACACACATAACACACACACACACACACACACACACACACACACA